AGTGGCTACTCTGACATGCACTCGGCATTCCTTAATCCTGTACCAGCATCAGTTCTAGAGTGTGCAGTGGTTTACATGGCCTGAGAATAACAGGGAAGTCATATATAACAAAACAAATAATTGTATTTAATTGGTAAGCGTGACTTGTAATTCCTTCTCACTCCATCCTGCTAGCTGGAAGGTACATTATACTTAAGTTACACTGTTTGTGCTTTCAGCACTTGAATAAAGTAACTAGACGGTTTGAAAAAGTTTACTATTTTTATCTGGGGAAACCACCCAAGCCCCGCCTATCAAAACCAATCACTACATTGCCTATTGAACTCCCTGCCTAATCCAAGATACCTTCTACCTCTTCTCCCTCAAAAATCTAGCTTTTCTATTTGTCCTCTAATTGTTGACAGTTAAACTGCCTGAGGTATTTTTCTTTTATTTTCTCATTTCAGCATTCTGTTCAGCCCTTCAAATTCAATTGGTCCTCACTGAACAGGGAGAAAAGAGGGTGGAATCTTCTATTTATCACAGAAGGCCACTGTATCTTGAACCCTTGCATGTCCTGGCTTCTAATATCTTTCAAGCAGCTGCATGAACAGAAGTGCCCTTACACTTGTACCAACCATACATAAAGGATTCCATCACTGGACACAATACTGTGGGAAAGGTTAATTAAAGACTGGAATTAAATTCCTGGTGGCAGCGTTCGATACTTTGAGTGAGAGAAAGAAACAAGAAGAAATTTAAAACTACATCACACCTAACCACACAAAATAAAAGAGAGGTACCGTGACACCCTCCTTCAGAGAGATAGTCCTTACCTAGGTGCAAATGCTCTATTCTAGACTGCCTTGCCATCAGGAGGGGGAGTAACCAAAAGCCTTCTGTCACTTTAAAATTAAAATGAAATAAAGACTCCAAGCAAAGAAAATTCTGGAGGACAAGGCAACCACTCTTCTGGTCATTAGGAAGAGCCAAGAATTAGGAAGGTCTCCTCTACTACAAGGAAAGAGGTCTGTTCCCCACCCCACACCTTCAAAGTTGAGTGCGAAGTTAGCTCTTTCTTGTCTGCTGCCCTGGAACTAAATTAGAAACTCTCTTACTAAATGGTAAGATCCAAACAAATTCTTAGAACAGAACAGATGACATGTCTAGAAAGTTTCTTACCTCATCTGCAATCATACACCTAAGAGGAGAAAAAACCAAATTTTAAAGTTTAGTAGCTAACCAAAATTCAATTAAATAAAGAATTTTTTAAAAAGTATAATTCTTTAGTAAATGGACTGGATGCTCCAACAATTTCTGTTATTGGATGTTAACAATGCCCGGGATCCAAGAACTATGCAACCAATTCCATGTGCTAAAGAGGACTTTTGACTTTTATTTCTTTAACAGTGGCATGTTACCCTTCCCATAATCCTGCATGTTAAATCTCTTGAAACTGAGGGGGAACATTAGGTGATGTAGCATTGGAGGCCTTCAGTTCAAAACATCAAAAATCCCACTGGCAGTGCCCCAAAACTCTAGTTGTACCCTTTTATAGCTAAACTCACAATTCCATATACCTTACTATATTTATTGATTTGGTTTTTTTAGTTGCTGCTCACCCAAAGGGTCTCGCAGCAACTTTCAACAGTAGAACCATATAAATAAGGTAAAATCCACAGAAAAACAAATATTAAATATTAACATTAAAATGTTAAACTATTAAAATATGTGGCTAGCACCATACTATCAATAAAACCAACCCAAACATGTGGCTTACCTTCCAAAGGCCAACATAAAAAATTTGGCTTTGCACGCCCTGCAAAAAATAAATAAGTCCAGCAGGGCACAAGTATCATCTGAGACTGCATTCCACAGGGAAGGGGCCAACTAAGAACCTAGGGATGTACTTGTGCTAAAGAGCACTGTGTTACCTTTCAACATGAATAATTATGATGCTCGAAGCTTTTTTGCAATAATTTAATTAAATTGCTTCTCTATGCACTATTTGAACTTTTGTTATCATTTATCTGCAGAACAGTTCATTGCAAATGATCCCTAATAAGACCGCAATAATACTGACTGGTCAGGCTCTGACTTGTAGGAACTATACATTTGAACTGAAGGTATATGTATCTTCAAGATAACGCTTCAGTAATGCTGAATAACCCTACCTATCATGCAGACCAGGATTTGAACCTAGCTGAATTATACTGTGTTAGGCTAGCAGGGAAGAAACTGTGAGCGACTATTTATTTACATTATAGTTCATGTGGTATTTAACACTGCAAGAACATTTTCAAGACCACAAGAAACTTTGTAAAAACGTGGTGCAAACTTGCTGAGAAACTACTGCCTAGAAAAAAACCCCTAATGTCTAATTACCAGCATTAGATATGATGCTGTTGAGCGTAACTATTCTGTCACTATAAGAATGAAAAAGATTATAAGGGCCATGTAAAAAGGTTTTCTTATGGCATTATATTCTTTATTCTATTAAGAAAATCTCTCCGCTCCAGACTTACTAGTTGTATGACGCTCCTCATTACTTTCTATATTAACAAAATCAGAGCAGCTGCCCACGCTGATGGAAAGGTTAAGTACTGTTGAAACAGATCTTCAGATAACATTTTTGAGGCACAAATCTGAATTCACATATTTTGACTGCTACAAGCAGGACATCTTGTTCTTGACGTTCAATTAGTCATTTCCTTTTCACTGGTTGTTACCCAATTGGGACTAGATTATTCACATACCATCTGCTCACGTAACTATACAATAACTATATCCAAAATTTGCTAATTTAAGTGATGAGGCATTCCATTTCATTTCAGGCTATAAACTCATCTCATGTAGCCAAATGTGTCATAAAAGGAGAAAGAAAAATACTCCCATGTCCTCTTGAAGGCAAGAATCAAGAGTACACCATGACCAATCATTAATGATTAAAATAAAGCTAAAGGCTTTAAAAACAAATTAAGAAAATTGTATTCTTATTTAAAGTCAATTGCACTAACAAATGTAAAAGTGTTGAATTTGCTAGGGAAATCCGAAGACCAGTTGCAAGAATCCCACTGCAACCTAGAAGTGTTTGAAAATCTACCGTTTCTGGAAGACCTTCAAGTTTGGTCAGCAAAAATGATGTGACAGTGCAATGTTAACTAGATTTGTATTCTTTTGTAAACTACCTTGGGAACTTTTTAGTTGAAAGGTGGTCTATAAACAAAATAAATACTTTGGACCATTTAGATTACAGTATATGTCTGCATACATGTCAACAACAACATATTATCATGGCCCTATTTTCCATCACAACCTTCTTACCCCTTTATTTTCCCTCAAGCTCTGATGCTGCCACTCTCACACAAATATGACAATTTCCAATAAGAATTTTAGCCTATAATTCCTCTTTGAAGACAAGCATTTATTGTAACTCAGTTTAGTTTGTTTATATCCTGCCTTTCGCCTCAATAGGAATCCAAAGCAGCTTAACAGTTCACATTTCCACTTTATCCTCAGGACAACCCTGTGAAGCAGGTTTGGCGGAGAGTGCGTGACTGGCTCAAGGTCACCCAGCAACCTTCCATGGCAGACTCGAACCTGGGTCTCCCAGATCCTAGTCTGACACTGTAACCGCTTTCTCTACTATATGACATGGTGGAACATGGGTATACCATCCCTATTTCTATTTGTACGGAACTAGTAACATTAATTCAAAATTATTAACATTATTGGGTTGGGGAAGTATGCCCGTATCTGTGCGTTTTTAACCAAAGTCAGTCAGTAGAAGTTAATTTTTAGGGCAGGGTCCAAGTTTTACAAGCCACCACTCTTTCTTCCTTCTCCTATGGGGAAATTAAGGAAGGAAGGAAGCTACCATTACATTTTGTAGCCTCTCTTGTAAAATATACACACTTTGCTCAACACCCATGCCGATATGGAAATACAAAAGGCAAGGCAAATTTTATATTCATAAATAAATATTTATAAACAAATTTAACTAAAAATGAAGGATATAGCAAGGCAGTGTTTGAATAACTGACACAATGAAAGCGATATGAAGAGGGTCTTGCCTCAAAGAATGAACATGTTTGTTGACCTTCACCCTCAAGAACGGTAGGTCATGAAATATTAATATACTTTAAAACCATGGACCACAAGTAGTCTTGGCTGTTCCTCCTTATATCCATGATGTAAGAAAGAAGAGCTGAATGGTCTAAAAGAGAACTAATAGCATCACAGGAATTAAGTAAAATGTTTTTTTTTGGTGGGGGAACCCTGCAGAAGTCGTATTGTAACCTGTGAAGCAGCATGTGCTTTTAACTACATTCAAAACAAACAAAACAACATGATGTAGCGAAACCAAAGCAGAAGAAATGCTCCTCTCCACTTGAATAATGGAAAGCAGTACAATCAAGCTCCACAAATTTTATTTATTAATCCATGATGTTACTAACATCATTCTTTAACGGAATCTCCAAAGACATAACTAGTCAGCTCAGCTGTCTACAAATGCATAAACTTTTGAAAAATGGTATCAACTGGTGGAAAAGAAAATCACCGAGTAGAGAGCTGCAGTAGTTCTTGTTCTTTTGTGTTGTCTGACTTCATTACATCCCTTATGGTCATGGGCTAGCTTCAGGCATTTGTAAACTAGAGAGTGGCTTCAGCCCCTAAGGATACCAGCCTCCAGGGTGGGGACTGGGGATCTCCCGAAATTACAACCCATCTCCAGACTACACAGATCAGTTCCTCTGGACAAAATGGATCCTTTGGAGGTTGGACTCTATGGCACTGAATCCTCCTGAGTTCCCTGTCCACCCCAAGTTCTGTCCCCAAATCTCCAAGAGTTTCCAAACCTGGAGCTGGCAATCCTAGCCCTTCTACAAAGAAATGAGAGCACCACTATGACACTAAATTGTGAGACCCTGAGTCTTCTTTAGTTATTTTTACCATTTTGCGACATATATCCTTGCAAAATTCATCATTTCTCGGCGCAAAAGGTAAAGCTTGAGATACTCACTTAACGGTTACAGAAACATTAAAGAAACATTATGGTTATAGAAACATAGTACACAGATTTGCTGTTTTAATATGTTCTGTTGCATACCAAGACAAAAAGCATATAGAGCTATAAACCAGCTAGCCTTTGCCCAAGTCTGGGTGCTCATATAAAATTTGATGCTAAAAGGCTGAAGGATACCATGTACATCCATTGACACTGTTTGCTTTTTTCTAAAATACGTTTAACATCCTACCTGTCCACAATTGTTCAAGAGGACCCATGCTAAATCAGTGGATAAAGGGTAACAGAAGCAGACAATTTAACTTGTTTTAGTGTTTTTTTTTTAACAAACAAGGCTCACATATTCTAACACAACATACTGTATAGAGGAAGAACACTATTGCCCTACAATGTGGAGAACCAGATTTTCCCAGGATTTTGCACCCACTCATGTGAATCAGTTTTATATAACACTCCAGCATATAATTTGCATCCTACTCACAAGTCAACACTTTAGCATTAACATCTCTCTCATACTGAGGGTTATTTAAGGAATGTGAGCCTGGTACATTTAAAAATGTGCAAGCAGCCATTTCATTTGTATGTCATTAATCACACTACACAGTCCTAAATCTGTATTGAAGATTACTGTCTTGCAAGAATTAGGGTACTTCACCAAAAATAGAGCCTCAAATGACTTGCATGCGACATGTCAAAACTGAGTTTTGTGCCAAAAAGAGGTGTTAGATTGTCAGCAACACAGAGTACTTTCTATTCACAGAAAGGTAAGGGGAGGGGCTGTGTCAAACTTCCATCAGGAGGCAAAAATACCTAACAGTGAAAAAACTCAGTAGAGTCTTTAGTGCCATTCACAGCATTCTGTCTCCAAACTGAAAATTATTATTGTAAAATGAGGTCAACATTTAAACTAGTACTAATTCATTACCTGTAACCAGTGAAGTGGCATTAATCTATCAACGTGAAAACTGCTTGCCAGCTTACACAAAACTTCTGAATAGTACCATTTCAGGTATACAGGGCTGGTGCTTGTTTCAGTAATCCTGCATGGGGAAAAACACCCTTTGCACAGAAATCTAGCACATCAAGAAAAATGTTGGCAACTCTTTCTCCCTAGTATGCTTATTTTCTGTGTGCTAGCCTACTTACCACAGTAGCAAAGTTCAGCAGGGGCTTCG